AGCTACATATGATAAGTGGCTACCATGTTAGATAGTCAATGGCTGCACAGGGCTAGAATATGCTTCCTTGTTATGCTGAAGTAAACCCACAAAGGATGGGTACTAAGTCTATTTGGTTTCTTGAGGCATGCTCAGTGCCTAGAACAGTACTTGAAACACAGCCAGTCTCAGTAACTATTCATTGAATGAATAAATGGATAATAAGAGGACTGGATATAAGATTTTCCTCTTAAACCAATCTTGAGGTATGTGCAATTTTTCAGCTTTTGGCTTCTATGCAGCATCATGGGAGGGAAATGTGTATGATATCACAATTAAACACTCTTTTAGACTTAAAGCAATAACACATTGACCTAAATAGAAATTGTATTTTCCATAGAGTTTCAAGTAGATAGAGGGTCAGTAGAGGATTTAAATTTAATTTGAGAATTCAAATATTCTGAAATATCTTCAGAAAAGTAAGAAAATAAATCATGTTAGAACTTCCCTAATAGGTACTCTGATAGAACCTTACTTTAGGCAAAACCTCTCCATCATCACAGGACGACAGAAGGGATAATACCACATTATCCAATCCACAGACGGAACTGAGTTTAAGAGCTCTTTTTGGAGACACCAAATAGAACATTTACTGTTTTTGTTTTTTTTAAGAGATAGGGAGTATCCCTACAAAAACACATTTGGCATACATAACTTTCAGCACCTTAAAAAATCATGTATAATAGTCTGCAACACCAGCATTTATTTGCCCCCCGAAAGTATTGAGAAGTGGAAAAAATGCAAAAGTATTAAAAAAGAGACAGATCAGAGAAAACAAAGATTAATTCTTTTCCAAAAGGGATGGCATTTTTTAATACTGATAATATAGTGCAAATAACATTATTTTTCATTAGAAAGAATGATTCTAAATATTTTTGCTTAGTGAATCTGAGGCTATTAAGAAGAAAATATTCCAGAGTTGACTATGGCATTTAGCCTGCCTTGTGACACATGCCATCTAAATGACAATACAACAAACCAGTATGCAGTGCTATCTGAACTGTAAATAAAACATCTTCTGAGCACTTTCTCCTACCTCTCACATACTGTAGGGACATCTGACCTTGAACTGAGAGGCTCTTCTAAAAATGTTGCCCACATGTCTAAAGTTCTCCCCCTCATACATGTACTCTGCCCTCCAACCTCAACCAAACCGTCTAAATTGCATTCAGATTTTTGTGGTATCATAATAACTTCAATATGGGATATATTTTCAACATTCTGGTCAGAGACTCCTTTCTTCCCCACCTCGCCCTCCTTCCAAGTTATTTCAGGTTTGCATATTTCATTTTCACATCTCAGCGGGATACCCATCACATAACATTTATTTGTGACGTCTAAAGGCATAACATGGGGGATTGTGAACTAGCATGTCAAAACCACATACAGCTTGCATACGTCTTAAAGAATGAAAAATGATTCCTTTTTTTCTCAAGATATACAAGCTGTCTCAACAGTATAAGTCCAAAGTGAATACCACAACCTAATTAAAGATGAAGAACATAACAAGCAGTACTAAAGTGTCTTTTTTGATCTATTCTTCTCCAAGTTATGTTTTTATCAAATGTCTTGTCTCATTAATGACTTCAACAGACATAACAAGCATACACACCTTCTAATCTCACTAAATTCAGAAGAAAGTTGAAGTAATGTTCTGGGAGGTATGACAGCAGACAATACAGAGACGGCAGAAAGTGGCTTTGAGAAGTCCATTCACCTGCCTCTGAGCATACTTACATACTCCCAATAAATGCTGTGTTTAAAGATCTCTAGAGTCAGAAATACTATAGTCTCTCTCAAGACTCAATTCCTACATTTGAGAATGTTTATTTCTAGGGAATTCTTCCTGCCCTAAGAGCCAGCTTCAGGAGCATGCAAGCTGTATAATTGCATACGGCCTCACATCCAGTTTAATGCTTTGTTGCCACCATCTTGAAATTCTTAATAATTTTATCTTTGAATTTGTGCTTTGTGAGTGAAGTCTGATGAGACAATGAAGCATGTGTGAGAGGGAGGATGTGTGTAATATGCATGCCTCCTTCCTCCTTTCCTCGCTTCACATGCAGCCCTGTGGCTCAGAATCCCCGTGGCCCCAGGGTGAGTGGGAGTTAACGGAGACTCGAGGTAAGCAGGAGGAAGGCCTGTTCCATCTGGGCTGATTAAACGAAGGAACTGACAGCCCCGAGAGGCTTTTCACTTGAACCAGAACTTGCATGGAATAAAAAAAGAGGCAATAGATACAAAGAAACAGGAATGACTAAGGAAACCCACTAGACTCCTGTTTACTTCCCTATATTATTGAATGACTTACAGTGAGACTGATAACACAGAAGGAAAGGGTAGGAGAGTGACACAGAGTTCCTTCTCCTTCAGCCCTTCCTTACTCAACAGGAAGCTGGAGGGAGGGAATGTTGGAAGATGTGCATAGGTTAAGAAGGGAAATAAAGAAGCTTAAGTTTTGTGCAGTGATTCTGTGGTTCTGTAAGAGTGAAATACACATGCATGCAAAAGCCATGAAATACAAATTGTATAACGGTGGTGATTCTTTAAATTTTTCTTTGTTTAGGACAACATACAAATGAGAGAGAGAATGCAGAAACTAAAAAAAACATGGTTTTAGTACCTGTTTAAACAGCGTTAGCTTTTTTTCCTACTTTCTTGAACAATGGATCTTCATTTTCATTTTACACTTAGCCCCGGACATTGTGTAGATGGCCCTGCCCTGCTTCAGATTCAATCTAGTGCATCTGTTCTGCCAAGTCACTCTTGTTAGTTTCACCCTCATCACCATTCATTCACCTAACAAATATTGACTGCACTATGGTCAAGCATTGTGCCAGGCACTAAGAACAGAAAAAATAAGTAAGATATAATCCCTGCCCTCAAGTGTAGATGAGGAGACAAATCACTATGAAAAGGTAGTAATATCTACCTTGCCTGGTTTTAGTGAGGACTATAAATAATATACTTAAAGTAGACAAACCACTTCCAATGATGATGAGCACTCTATCCAACTATCTCATTTAATTCTTATCACAACTTTCTGGTCAGGTAACATAGTGGTTTCCATCTTAAAGCATAGAAGCAGAGATTTAGATCGGTTAAGAAACTTGACCAGAAGGCCTGTGCTGTTAAGTGGTAGAACCAGGATCTGAGGTCACTCAAGTCTTTTTGACTACTAAATCTGAGTTCATAAGTGATAGTGAGGGCTTTTCTGGTGACTAAGTGGTAAAGAACCCACCTGCCGATGCAGGAGATACAGATGTAATCCCTGGTCCAGGAAGATCCCACATGCCGAGGAACAACTAAGCCCATATGCTACAACTACTGAGCCTGTGTTCTAGGGACCACTACTGCTGAACCCACACTGCACACCTACTGATTCCTGTGAGCTGCAGCCTGTGCTCCGCAACAGGAGAAGCCTCCACAATGAGAAGCCCGCGCACCGCAACTAGAGAGTGGCCCCTGCTCCCCACAGCTGCAGAAAGGTCCATGCAGCAACAAAGACCCAGCAGAGCCAAAAATTAATAGATAAACATTTTTAAAGTGATAGCTAGTATTTTATTAATATAATGCTAACCATTCTATTGTTTACTTTCTATTATTACAGTGTATATTTCTAGCTCCTCAAAGGCCTAATATTTTAGATGTAATTTTATCAACCTAAAAAAATGGGAATGCTAATTTTTTTTCTAATTTATTTTTACTACTTTGTTTAGAATATAAAATGTACCTTGATTTTTTTTTTTTTTCACTCTGACAATCTTTTGACCCAACTGGAGAAAATCAGACTCAACTGACAAAGCTTGAGATTTTCAAAATCATGCTCATGACTTTGCTAAAATACAGTATATAATTTAAAAACATGTCTTTGGAAGCAGAGAGACTTTGATACAAACTCTACTACCCACAAGCATCAGAAAGCCTAAATTTTCCCAAAATTTAGGCTTTCAAAACCTAAATTTTCCCATATGTAAAATGGTGATGAAAACACCTTAACTATATTATAGGTCCATGTTTAAGATTAAATGAGATAATCCTTGTAAAACACTTAAAAGAAAATGTGGGACCAAAATTTCAGTTTTAGTATTATATTATCTTTAGTACCATGTTTTCACATGACTTTAAAAATGGATATGAAATGACTTTTTTCTTGAAATGGTTTCCTCCATTTCAAAATACAAAAAAACATAAGTTCAAGAGTCTCTAATTTCCAAGTATGTTATTTCATTGTAAATAAAAGCATGCAATGATGGCATCTAGTGGTCATGTACCTCAATGGTTCAAGGCAACAAAGATATTCTATTTATATTATCCTTCACCAAAAACTCCAAATACACATGCCAATTTTTCCCCTTTTTGTTCTAAACTGCCTATTCACAGGATCAAGTATAAGAGTTTATAAATTACATATAAAGAACTACATATTTAAAAAAAGAACTTTATAAATGTAACAAAGTATCCCTGCAATTCAGCAAGGCTATCTCAGTTCTCTCTCTCTTAAAGTGACACTTACATTTAAGAACATTGAGCAAATAAAATGGCTGAACTGTTTTCTCCGGTGGAAAAGGAAAGGATTAGCTAATCTGAAGGTTTACTGCCATCACTCTGGTGGTCAAATGACTATTTCCCTGGCTCCTAAGTGACTGAAGAACATATTAAAAAAAAAAAAATAGACTGGATACCACATAAAAATGGACCATATACCTATTTTTTAAATATCTCTAGAAAAAAAAAAAAAGGCCTTTACTTGACATTATGGTTTGACATATCTCTAGAAAAAAAAAAAAAGGCCTTTACTTGACATTATCCAAAACAGAATTTGGATAAAAACAAAACAAAAACAAAACCAAGATTTCATTTGATACCTTAAAAAACACGATAGCCATGTGGTCTCTTTATAAAACCAAAATCTTTCCAATAATGCTGGCTGTTACCACTGCAGGCCTGTGGGTCCTTACCAATTCCTGAGTGTCCTGCTGCAGTGGCAGAAATGCCGCTTCCAGAATAGCAATCTGGTCCGCACTGAGCTTCTGCCACAGCCCGATCAGCAGAATCACCAAATGGGTGGCACTTTTCAGCCTGGTGAATGACTGGAACAGATTGGCTTGGTTTTCCTCTACTGCATCTGCTAGAGCGATTACCTGTAGAAATTACAAACTTCAGTTAGGGATAATTTCACAATTCTTGAGCCCTCAACAAATTACATTTGGCACACTCTTATTTTTCTTTAAAACAACTTGATGAACTTTGTCTTCCACAAACACAAGGTATGTTGAGTAATAAAAGTTATCATTCATCTTCCGCTTCCTTCTTTAAAAAAAAGTACCCAAAGTAATTCCAAATCCATATGGCCAAGAGATGAAAATATCCATGAAATCATCTTAATGGAAACATTGTTCAGTGTCTACCTCAACATTGATTCACTTTCTACAGCGTATGATAATAGTACATGATAATATAAGAAGCCTCTAACATAGTTATTACAGCGTTTACTACTAGTGACTGAGACTGATCGATTTAAAAAATTCTTATCAGAGTAGCTGCATTTACCTTGGGATTTAAAATAATAACTTGATTTTACCCTTTTCAGAAAGTAACTGTCTTCCTCTATTATTTTTTATATGTTACATGGTGTTGGAATAGCCAATATTTCTTGATTACATTTAAAAAGGAGACAATTTTCAAACATTTGACCAGTCAAGCAATGTCATTTTTAACACAAATGTCAGGTACCAGCCCACAGGGACCTGAAAGAAGAAAAAAAAATGTTTGGGGTGTATTAGCTTTACAATGCCAAATCTACTTAGGATAAAATTGGCAGGAGTGAACAGAATTGTTTTTTTTTTCCTTCTTCATCCTCTTGAATAATCCTGTGGAAAAAAGAACTAAAGTAACAATTGGATAGAACACTGAAGACTGCCCATTGGTGTTTTATTTTATTTTAATGTCTTGGTGAATTTTGTGCTCATTAAAAGTAATGAACTGAATGGCCCAGAGGCTGAAGTGGTCTGACAGCCCCCAGAACAGGAATAGCAAAAGCCAAGGTATTGTAAGCTCCTTTCTACAAGTCCCCATCAGCTCAAGGGACTAGAGCTCAGATGAGTTTCAGAAGTCTAATGTAGATGACCCATTTGGTGATATTTCATGGCTTACTGACACTGGCCCAAAGGGCCTATTTTTAAAAATCATCATTCAGACAAACACAGTCTGCAGCTGTGTGGTCTCCCAAATTCCATGTAGGAGAAAGGCTAGAGGGGGACAGTCCTTAGAGCATCTGTGAGGCACTGGAAAAGAGATGTAGGTTAGAGAAAGACAAAGCACCCTGAAGGCCCTTGCCTGACAAAGCCAAACAAACCAGGATTCTTTGCCACTTGGTTGAGGGCTTGCAGGAGTTATGAAAGGCAGTCACACATCACATTCAGCTCTCTAGGGAGCCCTGGGAGTTTGGACCAAGTTCAGCATTAACAATAAAGCACGCTGCTTACTGGGTGCCTATTACTGTGCTACTTTTCATTGGCTTTTGAAAGTACATGATATGCTATAACCCATGAGGATCTTATAATTTGTTGGATAGAAAACATACATACACAACCAATTAGTGGAAAGAAGCATTCCGGCAATAACGTCCTAATTGTGCAGAACAGAAAGTAAGTGCAAAAGAAGCTAGCTAAGGGACAGATTACTGTGGGCCAGAGTTAATATCCCTGGGGCCTCTTTAACTCAAACGAGGCTTGGAACTCATCCCTTCCCCATTACTTCAAGAAGTCCCTGCAAAGAGATGGAGAGGCCACTTTCCTTAAACCAAAACACCTGGAGTCATCTGCTTCCCCCACCTTCACCATGATTACAATGAACTTCTGTCAGAGTCTAATTTCTTTTTCTTCTTGTGAATGCTACTAATAAAGCTTCATTGTGGGCGCCATCATATCAATATTATGACACAGATGCTTTCTGTCAATAAGTCCAAATCACACAAAGATCAAGGTGATAAACACCTCCTGAGTGCCAGGCATGTGCAAGAATCTGCAGGAAGTGCTACAGGGAATTCAATGGCAACAGATAGAACTCCATCTTCAAAGAGTTTGTAATGGAGATAGGAAATTAAAACAGGTCAAGGAGGCAAACATTGACAACATAGGGAAGGCCCAGTAGACTATTAAGGAGGAGAATGCCACTAATGTTATGATTATTACATTAACAACAATCCCTCCAATTAATTTGGCATGAGCTGTATGCCAAGCAACCTGCTCTGTGCCACACAGGTATCAGTGCCTTCAATCCTCACATCTCCACTGAGACTTAGTTGGCAAGATCTCCATTTTATGGATGAGGCCCCTGAAGCTCGGCAGATGTAAGGGATGTGCCCAATACTGTACAAAGGGTGTGTCTACTGCGCCTGGGCTTAAAAGGGCTCCACGCTTGGTTTAAGTCCCTGCTGTCTCTCTCTTAAAATTCTTAATCATTTTATTTTTGAACCTGTGCTTTTTAAGTGAAGTCCAGAGGATAATGGAGCATGCACACGATCAGAGGAGATATGCTCACTGACTCAGAGAGTTTAATGCTCTTATATTTGCATTTTAAACTGCCATTGCACAATATAAAGATTCCTCATAAAATTCATGCTAACAATTTAAAATTTTAATTTTTCCTTACTTGGAATGACATTAAATAGAAACTCAAAACACCACCAGAAGGTGTGAGAGACCACTGAAGAAAGGAAAGATCTTTATATCTTAGTAGCTGTTTTAACAGCACTTTCTTCTACCTTTTAACAAGGGCCCTGTATTTTCATTGTGCACTGAGAAGTGCAATTTAAGTAGCCAGTTTGACCATCACATGGTAAATGAGAGACCTGCATTCAAAGTTGGAGACTCTAAAGTCTGCATGAGATCCAAAGCACCTTATAGGTTCAGAGAAGTGCCTAACTACCAGTGAGTGTGGAGGGCCTTGGGAAGCAAAATACAGAAGAAGAATCAGACACCACAGGCTCAGCCAGCTCCTATAGGTTCAGGAGAAAGGACTGATTATTCAATTTTCAGAAATTTTGTGAGCCAGGTGTTAAACATGGCCATTACTGAAAATTAAACTATAGAAACTTTAGCAAGTTACGGGAAAACAAAAGTAATAGTCAAAATGCATTACTTTCTAATTATTTAATATTATCTAGGCCCTTGAGATTATTTATGTCGCTTGCATTTGTATGTTGGAAACACTCTGCAGTGGGGGCAGGGGGTGGGGATTAATACCCAGTTCTTCCCCACTTCATATTCAGTGACCTCACACTAGAAGCTTGAAATCAGCCTTGGTGCAAGTATTTACAACATGCAAATCAACAAATGTTATAAAGTTAGGCTTCCCATCCACCCTGCTCCTCGCAGACAGCCAGTTGTTAAATAGTTACTGGCATGCCACTGAGAAGACGTGCCTGAAATTTGTCCTCAAGAACAGATACTGGATAAAGGGGCTTTAAAAGGAAAGGAAACAACCTGAGCAAATGCATTAAAACACAAACATAGAGGCTGCTTGTTTAGCAAGGAACAAATATTCCAGTTTGGGAAGAGCATTTGATGAGACAAAAAAGATCATCTGGGCAACCGTCACAGAGGAAGCAAAATGTCAAGGTGAAGAGTGTGCAGGTACTGGGAAGCCACAAAGTATTCTGAGTGTGGGCATTATCTCACGGAGATAGTGCACTAAGTAGCCACTGGATCATAGCAAACATTTAGGGCATTTGCTGGGACTTAAGTGAGGCTTTTATGCACGTTCCTTACTATCAGGGGAAAATTCTTACTAAGTGTAACAGCATGTCAGTTCGTGGACCCACCCAACTTGCTAAACACAGCTGTGGTGGAAGAATGACTTCTCAGTGAGACAGCAGCCCAAGCCACAGGATCTTTCCTGAGCAAGACCCAAAATACATCAATCCCAGAGAAGCATCATTTCTCTACATTTCAGTCTCACTGGATATATTTCTGTGCCATTGTGGAAAGAGTCCGCTATCCCCAAATGGTCACAGAAATTGGAAAGAAATGGGATAAACAATTCCTTATGTAAATTACCCCCAAGGAAAATCTTCCTGACCTGCTGGCCAGCATGAAATACTAAACAGATCTCCATGTTCTCAATTTAGTCTTACACATAACAGCCAAGTTTACTCTGTGCTCCACGAGAGCCAAATGAATTTAGCAGAATTAACATAGTAAAAGGGGATGGAAAAACTAGACCCACCAAGAGTTAGATCTGTCTGACCAGGGCCTAGAGGATCTTACAGCTCACCTGGAACTGAGAAATGAGGCCAACCAGCTGCTGGGGCTTACATTTGAGGGAGAGTGATTTTTCAGGACCCATCACTGGCTGTACAAGATGTGTGTTCCCTGGTGTTCGACAGAACTACAGAAAGGAAGGGGTTTAGGAAACAATGAACGCTAATGATTTCAAGCACAATGTGTTGATGGCCTTTGTTTTGCTTTTTCAAATTGACGGATTCCAAATAAAATGGAGACCCCAAAGGACATCTCTGTCCAACTGCCATATCAGTTGATGCCAAAGTAATGAGGCAGAGGTCCAGGGAGCTGCTTGCAGGAAAACGCTCAACTCATAAAGTGAGTGTGAAATTAATCCCAAATACTTTTAGCTGCCAAGATAGGCTCTAAAATTGGTTACAGGAAAGCAGCAGCAGCAACAGCAGAGTAGACATGAATCATACTATGTGAACACAGACTTGTCCAATTTCTCCACCTAAACTTACCATCAAATCTGCCTCCAAATCTCATGTGTGGCATATAGAACCCCATTACACTGCTGTCTAGCTGTCATTTACTGAACCTCAACTGGGGGTCAGGCACCGGGCTAATGCTGTTATACTCAGGTTATCATTTGGTCCTCATAACTACCCTCTGAGATCAAAATCATCGATCCTATCCCAGATGAGGAAACAGAAGCTTAGATCTCTGATGAACTTAATACTGAGAGGAGCACATTGCCTGTGGTCATGAACCAGGGTGGGAAAGGCAGGGATATTAATCCTATCTTTGGATTCCCCAGTTGGATGACCTTTTTTCTGCTCTGGTACACAAATGTATACAGTTGGCTCCACAAAATAATCCAGTGAGTTCTTATCCTGATAATCAAATAAAGACAT